CCATTCCCTATCATCAAGAAGGTTGGCAAAGCCGCTTATGTTGTGGAACTCCCACCCCGCCTCAAGTTTCACCCGGTGTTCCATGTGAGCAACTTGAAGCCTTATCATGCGGACGATGAGGAACCAAGTCGAGGTGAGTCTCATCGAGCACCCCCTTTGATGACAGAGGCATTTGACAAAGAAGTGGAGAACATTGAAGCTAAGCGTGTCGTGGTGCGACCAAGACAACCAAAGCATGTGGAGTACTTTGTCAAATGGAAGGGGCTACCATACTCCGAAGCAACATGGGAGAAGGAGTCGTCCTTATGGCAATATAAGGACTTGATCGAGACATTCGAGAGGCAAGAGTCGACGAGGACGTCGACGGCTTAAGTGGGGAGGATGTCACGGGCCGCATGTTAAAAACAAAGAAAATGCCCAAGACATCATATATCTAAGCCCATAAAGCCTTGTCTTCATGGAAGCTTCTGGAACGTCCCGGAGAGAAATCAAGAACGTGGCGGAGCATTCAAGATAATCTAGGGCATTCCGGAACATTCCACACAAGTGTACATATTTAAGCCTCACCTAGAATAATCTAGATTAGGCAAGTTGTATCTAGAACTATGCTAGATATTTTTGGATGTAAGTAGAGGATTCTAGAACCCTCCATTGAGGAGGTGACTTAGGCCTATAAATAGGAGGCAAGGCCATTTGGCCAAACCATCCAAGAATTGTAAGCAATTGTAAAGTTCTCTTAACTTTCAATACAAAGCTTCCTTTCTCCCATCTTCTAAGTGATCTTAGCATTCTCCAAGCTATCTTAGCTTTCTTTGTGATTCGATCCGGGGAAGCGAGGCTTCGAAGGCTTACTTAGCTTGTTCATCGAGGTATTCAAGTCTAAGTGCCGCACGGGCGGAAGGCTTAAAGAGTCATCCCGTGACACAAGGAATATGTGATTGGGAGAATGCAATCTAATGAAGTTAGATTCATGAGACCATTCTTTCGTAGACACATCCTAAATGTTCCTGATCATAGGATTGCCAATTGGGCATTGACAGTCCGTCAAGATCGGTACGTGCTATGTCTTCTCTCAGGGAGAGTGACTAGTCTCGAGTCATTGGTGTGTGTGACATCAAGACAAGTACGTAGGTGCTCAGTAGAGAATGAGTTCACTGAACGCGATCAACGAAGAGTTCTCATACTCATGTCACATGAGAACTCATGGTTGGGATAATGCAAAGTACTCCTTGACCTGAGTCATCACAATTGTCTTGTGGTTAAGTCCTTGATCTTTGATTATGTCAAACGTCATTCCATTGGAGTGTCCACGGCATCGTTGGGGTTAAGCCACTTAGCCATGGAGGCAAGTGAATGCGCAACAAGGGATCTCTAACCTTCAAACTGTTTGAGGGAGAATACTCTATGATATGATTTAGAATCTCTGGCCAGAGTATGAATGAGATTTAGAAAAGTCGTTCTAAATCACATTCAAGGTAATCATATAAGCACACGAATCACATTGGATAGTAGACATGGATAAATAAACTATCAAACCAAACAATGTGGTCAGGAGTATTAGATTAGAGAAAGACCGTATTGCATTTGTAATCCCAAACTGAATAGGTTTTCTCTACCTCTTCTGATTAGCTTGGGTAACCATGATATGCTGCAAGGTGTCACTCATGGTTTGTGGAAGCCCTAAACGTGTGTAATCACTAAAGGGAGAATTGAAAGTAAGTTTCAATTCACAATCGATATAAAATGGTTTTAATCGCCCACTGCCTCGCTAAAAGGAACCTAATGGATCGCACACCGTGTAAGGTGGAGATTGAAGAAATAATGGAGATGAGTAAGAATGATTAAATGGTTTAATCATTTATTTATGGCAAGGATTAATTAATATGTTAATTAAGCAAACGAATAAGTTCGTTTAAAGACCTCGGGATAGTTTTGGACATTAAGGCCCAATGGGCTTTTGAACGTCAAGCCCATTGACTTAAGTTGTATGACAACTTAATGAATAATGATTCACAAAGGCCTAATTAGCCCAAAAATACCCTAGGGCCGGCCATGATGCTAAGGGTAGTGAACTTGGACTTATTTACAAGTTTGCCACTCAAATGAATAAAGGTATAAATATGACTTTATAGCCTAAAATTCATTAGGGTTTGTTTTGGAGAAAATTGGAGAGAACATGTCTCTCCATTTCTCTCTAAAGAGGCCGGCCACCTTGAGGGTGCATCTTGCAATCCCACTACTCCAAGGTCACTCATTTCTTCTCCAATCTCTCCTTGGTGAAGAGACTTAGAGGTTCCCTATTTTGGGAACTTAGAGAAACCTATTCATCCATCCAAATCTATAGATTTAAGATGCGAGGAATGAAGGCCCTCTCTTTGGGTGATTAGCCTTTGCTTATGCAAAGAGGAATCTACAAAGGTATAAATTTCAACTCACTTTGTTTTGAGTTGAGTTTTGGTTCACCAATCTACTAGGCTTTGAATTTCATGGTTAATGTTTTGTTTTTAAGTGCATGCAAGCATGATTCCGCCTTTAATTGTTAATTGCATGCTTATTGATGTTGCTTAAATGAACATGTTTTCACAAAATAATCCTTCAAAATGTCCGTAAAGTATCATCACATGATTGCTTTTAGGGCACATTTCCAACAAAGTTGTGAATGAAATATGGATGAAATGATAGCTAAAGGATTCTCTCCACACAAGAATCATATGCATACAAATCGATTTCCAGTTATTCTTCCTATAAACCATGAATGACAATGCCGCAAATTAACTATGAACAACACCAATTAACACTAAGATTTTCTTAAGTTCATTGAATTGGACTCAGCGACGCAACCAAATTATTCTTCTCAAGTTCCCTAACTATGAAAAACATGATATAGATGTCAAAGATCATTAAGTTCTATGAAAATCATAAGCATTGACAAAGCATTCATAACTATGAAAAGCATGATACTCATGCCAAGAATTTACTTAACTGAATCATGACTAATGACTTTTACTACTTGCAAATATAAATTCATAACGATTAGGTGAAATTCCCTTATATTCTAGCATCAAATCTCCGCATGGAAACTAAGTATGCATCCTTAATAAACATACAAGAATAAGTTCTCTATAAAGTAGATAGGTAAATTGCATTCATGTTTTATGAAACAATTACTGGATGTAATCAATTTATATAAAATTTATGATCAATGCTTCGAATTCACCTCTAGCTAAAAAGAAACTTAGTTAAACATGTTCATCATAACTGAAAAGCAATCTAAATTAAACATTGAAACTTAAAAAAAAAAGGGAAAGAACTCTGAAAATTCCATCAACTTCAATGGATGAATGGTAGGTGCAGCACACCTCTTTTTTCAACGTTGCAGAACACTTCATATATATATAGGGCACAACTAGGGTTTTCTTTAGAATGAATGAAAAGAGAGGAAAAATAGGTAATCAGAATTGAGAAATTTGCCTGGCAAGTAAAAATGACAAAAAGGCAAGTTTTTATGGGGTAAATGAGGCTACAAGATATTCCAAAGTGATCCCAACAACATAGCCCTTATTTTGCACATTTTTGCCTTATTTGGCACCTCCAAATCCGGCTAGATATCCCAATTCCTTTCCCATTCTATTCCTGGTCATCTAACAAGCCAAATTCATTTTTGATTCTTTATTTGGACTTCAAAACAAGTAACAACTTCTCTCCAACTAGGATTCCTCTTTCTTGTGTAATTCCTTACCTTCCAACCCTCAACTTTAATTTCTCTAGATTTTAGCACATGTTTAACACCTTTTAAACACCACAACGTCCATCTCATATGCTATCCAATCCAAGTCCAAAACTGCTCCAAATTGCTCCATTTAACTATTTATTGTCCTCTTTACCAACTGGACCTACAATAAAACGAAAATAACTTAAATTACTATAATAAATGGAAATTAATTAAGTAAGTGCAAAGAAATAAGATAACAAAGTCGCATAAATATGCTCCTATCATTCATCCACACTCAAAACTCCACCCATTCTATACACTCTAACATCACCGAAGGCTCATCCCGACAGGCTGTTCTTGGAGAAGTTCAACATCAGAATTGCTTCAAGGGTTTCCTCTCTCTTTGATTTAGTTTCACTCATGTTGTGTATTTCCAATTTCATCTCTATGAACATGATGTGTAACTAAATTCATAGCTATGGATTTCGATGTAACCTTGCACAATTAACCCATGTTTTTATGTTAAAATATTCAATTCACCAATCTGTCTCTTGTTTCATTCATTGAATCTTTTGTTAAATTTGTTTGTTAATTTTAATGATTGATCACCATTAGGTTTTCTTACAGATCATTTGATCAAGATTATAGTAAGACATGTGAATGAATGAAGAGAATGCTATGCAAACATCCTGCCATGTATTTTCTTTGGTTCTTGAACGTTTTCTTGCATGCTAAAGACTCTTAATTTGGAACCGAAGTTGAACATCCCAATTAGGTTGTAGATTAGGAGAATTTGATCAAAACCACACATCATATGGTTGATCATGTATATGTAAAACGAACTCTGGAAACAAGTTGGTAATTGAATACGATTTAACTTTGTAAACATGGAATTGGTTTTGTAATGGTAAACTCGAAATCCCTGGACCCATCCTCATCGTTTCTTAATCAACATATCATTCGTTGTTACATTTTTCTTGCATTTTTAGTTATTCTCATTAACAGCACAAAACCTACATTCAATTTGTTATTTTCATTGTTTAGTTAGAGTTCTTTCAAGGCTAGTAATTTATAAAGGTCTAATCAGTCCCTGTGGTTTGATACCCTTACTTGTGCCATTATACTAACCATTTATTGTACTCGGAAGGAACACAACAAAATTATGGCATCATTGCCTGGGACTGATTTCAGCCCCCTATAATTGCTTGTTCTTCAAACCTTATCTATTTTCATTTTTAGTTTAGATTTCTAAATTTCATTTTTTTTCTTTCTATTTCTTAGGTAGTATATGTCCGATAAACTTACTAAGATAGGCCAAAGACTTGAACATATAAAGAGCAACACTTTTGAGAACTTTCTATCAACTAGTGCTCAAATTAACCGTGAAGAAGAGGACGATCAATCTTCTAGATCAGCGAGGGTTGGTTAATGGCTTTAGCACCTGGTTCGCTCACTACTTGGGATGCCGTAGCTAAGAAATTTTTGAAGAAATTTTTCTCTACTCGAAAGACAACTACTTTGAGAAGGCAAATCTTCAACTTTACACAATATGATGGAGAACCTTTCAATGAATGTTGGGAGCATTTTAAAGGGCTTTTGCTCAATGTCCACACCATGGGTTACCTTTTTACTTACAAATGCAATTTTTTTATGATAGATTAACCCAAACATGTCAATCTACTGTTGACAATGCAGCAGGTGGAGCTTTGAAGAAAAAGAATGCTCAAGAGTCATATAACATCTATGAGATGTTGGGATCTAGTGCTTAACACAAAGATACAAGAGGTATATGAGTTGGAGTGTATGAAATGAGCTCTAATAATGATCTTGCATTGCAGGTGGCTGGTTTGGAAAAGAAGCTTGATTTTGTGCTCAATATGGTGCCTAAGATAACTGAGGTGTGTGCCATTTGCAACATACCAGGTCATCCTCTTTATCAATGCTCAAGTAATGAGGCTTATCCCGAATTCATCCAAGAGCAAGTGAATCTTATGAACTCTTACAAATTATAGGCCACGAAATGACCCATTCTCTAATACATACAACCTTGGTTAGAGAGATCATCCCAATCTCTCATGGAAAAATAACAATCAGTTTCAAAATTTCCAACCAAAGCATGCTAATACACTTGAAGATACAGTCAAATTGCTAGCCTAAAACACCGTTCAATTCTAGCAAACTACCAATAGTACTCTCCAACAACATTTGGCTGCTTTATTGATGTGAAACTAGCACACAAATTAAACCCTCTTTTAATATTTGTAGTATGTGTAAGTAGGGATCGTTCTAGGCCGGGGATTAGGAGGGACTGCTAATCAACTCAAATTAGACTCAATTATACTTAACTAGACTTAAAAACACTAAACTAGACTCTTATGACTCGAGACTGACTCAAACTACTCAAAACTACACAAAACAAATAAATTGACTCAAAACTAACACTAAGGATGACTTTGGATGAAATTTGAACTAAAAAGACTCAAAACATTAAAAAGACACCAGTTGGACAGATTCTAACCTAAAACACGAAATAGAAAGGGGGGTTGGTTTTTGGACGAATTTAAGACTTAAACTAAATTGCTTGCAGAAAACAAACTAATTGCTATGAATTTAGGGTGTTTTAAGAGGTGAATGGCTAGCTAGAAGGCCCTTCTCCACACATGACACATATACATACGAATCAATTTCCAGTTATTCTTCCTATAAACCATGAATGACAATGCCATAAATTAACTGTGAACATCACTAATTAACCCTCAGATTTTCCTAAGTTCATTGAATTGGACTCAGTGTTGCAACCAAATTATTCTTATCAAGTTCCCTGCACGAATAGCACGATAGAGATACATATCAAAGATCATTAAGTTCTATGAAAATCATAAGCATTGACAAGGTATTCGTAACTATGAACAACATGATACTCTTGCCAGGAATTTTACTTAACACGATCATGACCAGTGACCTCCACTACTCGTAAAGATAAGTTCATAACTATTAGGTGAAACTCCCTTATATTTTAGCATCAAATTCATGCATGCAAACCAAGTGTGCACCCTTAATCAACATACAAGAATAAGTTCTGAATTAAACAGTTAAGCAAATTGCATTCAGGATTCATGGACTAATAACTGAAAGTAATCAATTCATATGCAATATGTTCATGGCTTTGAATTCATCTCTAGCCAAAACGAGTTTAGTTCTTCATGTCCACACTTAAACAAAGATAATTTAAATTAAACATTGAAAACAAAAGATAAAATACACCTAAGAATGCTCCAGCAATCCAATGGTCTTGAATGGCAAGGCACGGCAAAGGGTCTTATCTTCTTTCTCCTTGCAAAGCTGTGGCACAAGAAGGATTTTCTGTGTATGATGGATGTGTGGTGTTTGGTGCGAAATTGTGGTGAGAAATGGGTAAATTCTGAGTGCTGTGGGAATTGTATTTATAGGGAGAAGGGAAGGCATGGCATAGGCTGAGAAGGAAGGGAATTAGGACTCCAAATTAGCAAGGAAAGATGACACTTCTCATCAGATTCCATCGAGGAAACTGAATAGTCTTTGCATTAGGAAATATAGCTTCTAGAAGGGCTAGGTGTGGCACCAATTTAAGGATAGGGTCTTGGCTTCTAGAAACCTGATTTGTAGGTGCTTTAATGTGAAATTGATCCCCCATTTCAGCTGGAATTAAGGTAGGATAAGATTAGGAAAGGATAAGATAAGATAAGGTTAGTTTGGATAAGATAAGGTTGGATAATATTTTGGATAATGTTCCTTCTTTTTAGCTGATTCCTTATGTTCTTTGTCTTGACTTTATTTTCTTTATCTTTTCAGCATATTCCTAGCCTCTTGAACTTCAAAAATGTTCATCCACCTTGCTCCATGCATGTGTTATCCATTCTTGGCCCAAAACTGCTTCAAAATGCTCCAAATTGTACTTTCTTGCCAACTTTGTCATTCAAACCTAAAAACACACGAAAATAGCTTAAATCACTATGATAAACAGAAACTAGCTATGAAAATGCAAGAAAACATGCTGACTAAGTCGCATAAATATGCTCCTATCATCTAACTAAAATTAAGACACAATTAGGTCAGATTGCCGATGCTTTGAGTCAAAGAGAGCTGGGAAGTTTCCGAGACAATCAATGATACTTCAAAGGAACCAAGAGCAAGCCAAACAATTATTACACTTAGAAGTGGTAAGGTTATTAATAATGGAGTTGGCAGTGAAGTTACTAATGAATTTGATCATGTTAATATAGGTGCAACTCAAGAAGAGAATGAGAAACCAAATGACGAACCAAGCAATGTCACTTCTTCATTTGAATCACCAAATCTCCACAAGGTTGAAAAACCTTACACTCCTCCCATCCCATTTCCTAGAAGACTTGCCAAAAGCAAGCATGATAAGTCATTTAAAGAAATTTTTGATATTTTAAGTAAAGTGAATGTTAATTTACCATTGCTTTATGTCTCCAACAACTATAAGAGGAAGTATGGACCTAATGAGAAGGTGATAGTGTCTGAAAATGTGAGTGTTGTGCTTCAAAGAAAGCTCCCACCAAAACTCAAAGATCCAAGCAGTTTTTCTATCAATGTCACTATTGGAGACAAGTTAGTTGACAAGGCTATGCTCGATTTGGGTGCTAGCATCAATCTAATGCCTTATTTAGTGTATTTTCAACTAGGTTTGGGGGATTTGAAGGCAACAACCATTTCATTGCAACTTGCTGATTGATCAGTGAAATATGCAAGAGGTATAGTTGAAGATATCTTAGTTCAAGTTGACAAACTAATTTTGCATGCTGATTTTGTAGTTTTGGACATGGAAGAGGCTCCTATACATGGTTGTGAGTTACTAATTTTGCTTGCGAGACCTTTTATGGCCACTAGAAAGACTATCATAGACGTGCAAAATGGTCTTCTCACCATGATCGTGCTAAGAGAAACTATACAATTCAAAGTGTTTGAATCTCTTTCTTACCCTTCTAGTTCACTTGATTGTTGTTCGATTGATGTGTTTGATACACTTGTTCAGTGTTCTAAAAAAGGGCCTAGGCGGCGCCTAGGTACTAGGCAGGTTGGAATCGAGGCAATTTTGTGCAAAACGGCTAAAAAAATCAGGCTGGCTCTAGGCGGCCCTCGGCGGCGCCTAGGAGGGCTAGGCAGTGCTAGGCGGCTGGGCGATTTTTATTAAGCCTAAGTTCAAAGTTCTAACCCGTGCCCTGCACTTTCTTTTACTCTGTCTAATTTCACAAACAAAAACAAAACCAAGCTGCCGTCGTCTCGCTCAAACTCTCAACTGCAGTACACAATGCTTGCAAGTGATTGTGCTTCCAGTCTCCAAGACCAAGTGCTTGCGAATCTCGATTGTGCTTCCAATAGCTTTGCCGATTTCACCTCAGGTAAGAATACAGGTAATCTTTCCATCTTCTTCCCTTTTCTCTTCTTCTCCTATCTTATAGTGTCATGGGTAAAGAAAAAATGTTACTAGTGAATTTCTGCAGTCGTCTATGATGATGAGAGAAGATAGTCGTATGTGAAGATGAGAGAAGAAAGAGTGCGAAGAGAGAGAGAGAGAAAGAGAGATAAATATTTCAATATGGTGGTGCAAGTTGCGGGATCTCAAATCCGCGGAGCTGATGGTTTGAAGTTTGAAAACCATGGACTTTGATGGTTTTAATAATGAAAACCACCCAAGGTGGACATATGATGTGGAAAGGCAGAGGTTTGGTGGACGGGTTGATGGTTTGAATAATAAAAACAACCCATTATGTGGGCTTTTTATATTTTTAGAAGTTTGGTATATATGTTGTGTGTGGGTGTGTGTATAAATCTTATATAAAGTATAAATTATTTAGATAATTTTTTTTTCCTAGGCAAGCATATCATATATTTGACATAAAACATTCACATATGTATGTTCTTCTATAAGAAATAACATGTTAGTCAATAATTCTTTACATTTGATATAGTAAATTTAATTAATTCATAAAATATAAGAAATTTACCTAAATCCGCCTAAGCTGCCTAGGCGCCCGCCTAGACCCTACCTAGCCACCTAGGCGCTAGGCGCTAGCCAGCCGCCTGACTAGCGCCTAGCGTTTTTTAGAACCTTGCACTTGTTTTCTCTAAGTTTTTGCAGACACAATCTAATGATTCATTACAATTTGTTTTGAGTCAATCTCAAGATGATTTTGACGAATAATCTGCACTTATGGAAGTGGCGGCTGCCTTGGAAGCATTAAATGTTGGAAGTATGCCCACAAAGCCACTTATTTGATGTAATAGCTTTTGGAATACTTATTGTATTAAACTATTATATGTTTAATGAAGGGTAAAGCTTATTGTTAATCACTATTTATTGTATCATGTGTTTAAGCAATAAGGGAATCCAAGGAAAGTATTTAATCTGAGAGGAGTAATCTAAGTAAGATAGATTAAAGACCTTTCTCTTATGTTCATTCCTAAAACGTTCCTAGCCATAGGATTGCCAATTGGGCATTGACAATCCGCTAAGGTTAGTATGTGTTATGTCAACTCAAGCGTGAGTATGACTAGTCTCAAGTCATTTAGTGTTGGACACTAAGACAAACACGTAGGTGCTCGAAAGGGTAATCGAGTACACTGAACAACGATCAAAAGAGAGTTCGAACATACATGTCATGTAAGAACTCGTTAGTTGCAATATGCAAAGTAGTCATTTGACCTGAGGCATCATAGATGTCTAATGGTTAGGTCCTTGATCTTTGATGATGTCAAAGGCATTCCATCGAGAGTGTCCACGACATTGTTGGGGTCAAGATATCTAGTCATGTAGGCATATGAATACACAACAAGGGATCCCTAACCTTCCATGGTGGAGGGAGAATACTCTAAGATATGATTCAGGAGTCTTTGGCCAAAGCATATGAATATGACTTAGGAAGTTTGTTCCAAATCATATTCAATTGAATCATATAAAGAAGTATCACATTGGATAGTAGACATGAAACAAACTATCACTCAAACAATGTGATTAAGAGTATTGTATTAGAAAATGACCGTATTGCATTGTAATTGTAACTGGATAGATTCTCCAACCACTTCTACTTAGCTTGGGTAGCCATGACATACTGCTAGGTGTCACTCACGGTTTGTGGAAGCCCTGAAGATTAGCAAATACTAATCTTCAACAAAGGGAGAATTGAAATGTTGTTTCAATTCACAATCGATCGTTAAAAGTAACAATTGCCCACTGCCTCGCTAATTGGAACCTAATGGATCGTACACCGAGTAAGGATGAAAGTGAAGAAATATAAATGAGATGGATAAGCGATTAAATGGTTTAATTGAGAATGGTCAAGATTAATTAATTAGTTAATTAATTTTACGAAAGGTTCGTATTAGGCTTTTAAGTTGGTTTTGGGTTTCGGGGCCCAAAAGCGTTTTGGTCCACAAGGCCCATTATGTTTAAGTTGTATGACAACTAAACAAAATGGGCAATTAGCCCAATAACAAAGACAAGGCCGGCCATAAGGGTAAGTGGATGCAAACTTGAATTAATTACAAGTTTGCAGTTCACATGTGATGCTGTATAAAGTCAACTTTATAGCTTTTTCTCATTAGGGTTTTCTTAAGGCAAAGAAGAGAAACATTTTCTCTCTTTTTCTCTAAAAGGAGGCTGGCCACTTAGGGAAGAATTAGCTAGCAATCTTTTCTTCTCTAAGTCATCCATTTCATCTTCACACCTTATCCTTGGTGTGGAGACTTAGAGACACCAAATCTTTGGTGTTCTTGGAGATCCTTTCCTCACATCCTCAAGGAGCAAAGGAGAATCAAAAGGAAGAAAAACACAAGGAAGATCCAAAGAGCTAGGAGGTGACTTGAAGACCCTCCACTTGGGTGAATCCCTTGTGTAAACAAGGATGAGCTTCAAGGGTAATGAATCTCTAAATCCCTCCTTCTCTTTAATATTGTTAAAGAGTCTTGTGGTTCACCATTCACTAGGCTTTGAAAGTCATGGGTTTTAGAATTTTTTTTTAATGCATGCCTACTTTAATGTGTTATTAGTTTGCATATGTGTTCAAATGTTCTCACATGTTCTTAGCTAGGACAAAATTTTCCTTCATTAAAACCATATCCCTCCACTATTTCATGTCTTATAGAGTCATTACAACCATTGGCCACACATATAATCCCTTCCATTGTTAAACCTTCAAAACTTGAACTTAAACCACTTCCACCACATCTAAAATATGCTTACCTCGCTGAATTTGAACTTTCCCAGTTATCATAGCATCTGACCTCAATCCATTGGAAGAAGATAAACAAATTAGGGTGTTAAAAGAGTGAAGGGAAATTGTGAGATTTCATGTGGGATTTCTAGTGACTAGCATGCATATACAATTCAAAATTTATATACGAAAGCAACGGAAGCATGTTATCAAATAATATCAAAGCTATAGTCATGCAAATCCCCTTCAAGATGCATAGGTTTATGTATGATGCATCAAAAACAATTTATTGAAGAACAAAGTGTAGGAGTAGTTTTATATACCTCTTGATCTAGACTTTAGACCAAGGATGGACCACCTCCAAGCCCTTTGTTGTTGGAACTCCTTGAGCCTAGCCTCCTTCCTTGCCTCCTCCACTTTGTTAGAATGAGTGCTCCTTGGTTCTCCTTAAGTCTCCAAAGTTGAAGACCTCTAAAGATCCTCACCCACTAGAGTAGTGAGAAGGATGAAGGAATAACCAAACGGGTGAGAAGATGATTAGCTAAACCCCCCTTTGGTAGCCGACCCTTTGAGTGTTGAGAGAGATATTTTCTTTTTTTTCTCTTTTTTTTGTTTTAACATTTCAAAAAACCCTGATGAAACTTTGTGCTATAAAGTTCCTTTTATAACCAAAAAGAAACAAGTCAACATTTGACTCTCTCTCTCCCTCCTTTGGCCGGCCCCTTTAGTGTTGTTTGGGCTTTGGGCTATTATTTCAAGTCATCCTATGCTTGAATAAAAGCCCAATGGGTTTAGGCCCAATGGGCCCAATTAGACCCGAACTTTTCTTTAAGCCCAAAACGATCTTTTATCGCTTTTATGATTTCTTTAGACATTCTAATTAATCACAACACTTAATTAATCCAATTAATTATTTCCATCATCCATTAGTTACTCACTACAAGAGTGTATTGGTGAACAATCATTTTCGGTTCTAATTAGCAAGGCAGTGAGGTGATTGGCACCAATCCAATTGATTATTTTTAATCCAATCACTTAGTGAATTAAAACTTACTTTTAATTCACCTTCTTCTTTGATGACTACATTTAATCATCTAGAAGAACTCACAAGTCATGAGTGACATCTAACCATATATCATGGCTACCCAAGTTAATGTAGAATTTGTTCGGAGAACCTATTCAGTTGGAATTACAATGTAATTCGATCCTTCTCTAAAACAATACTCTCAATCACATTACTAGGGTATAGATATATTATGTCAAACCCCTAATGTGATTATTCCTTCTTATATGATTCATTTGAGTCGTATAGGAACGCTTTCCTTTATTACGCACGATACTTCGGCCGAAGATTTCCGAATCATATCTTAGAGTATTCATCCTCTTTTAACGAGGATTAGAGATTCCTTGTTGCGCATTCACTTGCCTCCATGACTAAGTGGCTTAACCCCAACTATGCCGTGGACACCCGCGGATGGAGTGACTTTGACATAATCAAAGATCAAGTACCTAACCACAAGAC